GGGCTCCGCTGGGCTCTCAGCTGACGGGGGGGACACCGCGGCGTTCATGCTATCGAAACCGTCACTACTCTGGACCCGAGTCGAGTGATGGCGCCTCTTGCTGCAGGTGTCTCTCCCCGCCGGAAGATGGAGCGCGCTGGGTCGTTCCGGATGAATTTAACGAAACGCCGTGACAAACGCACTTATGGCTAAGGAAAAGGGTCGGGTGCTGTTGAAAATATAACCATGGAAAAGTGATTGAATGACATGTAGATGCGGTGACCCAAGGCATACTGATCAGTAAAGCGCCAAACTGGAGACATTGAGAGACGTCTGAGAGATGGAGACGTTTGCACCAACCGTTACAAGACAGGAAGGCTGGCCGTGTCCCAATGACGAAAAATCTTCCACTTAAGGAAATTTACGCAAGATGGAAGAAAACAAGAAAGCATGTGATCTCTGGTGCGAGATGGCTGGCTACAAAGGAACTGGAAGAAAACCAGGAACGGCCAGGCCACGGATATCCATACTGAGTGATTCCGAAAGCCGCCAAGGCACACATGTTTGCGAGGATGTCTGCGAGGAGATAGCTGGGTAAAGAACCATGCGGAAAAAGATCGTGGCCAAAAGCTGCTGGCAGTAGCGTAGAACACGATAAAGCTCGCAATAGACAGTAGGACATGTGATAAATATTTTTTTTCAACAGAGATCGCATGACAAAAGAAAGCGCGAGATGTACGGTATAGAGCCCTCGCGGCGTGCGACATTCTTGAACGGCTTCTTGACGACTGCTGGCCTGTGTGCCGCATAGGGTGGTAGATGGCTGTAACAGGAGCAGATGGATCAGCGGTCGTTTGGCCTTAAGCCCTCCGCAGTGCTGTTACAACAGTGAAGCGTCGTGAACACTGGAAAGGGCTGGTGGCCAAAGCGTCTGTCATACGCCACTTGTTTGTTGTTGTTTTGCAGCTTCCCACCACCGCGTGCGACATACGGTTCAACAACCACAAAAAGATAGCAGTCACACAGGATGAATCTATTCATTTCATTCCATTCACCTCCCTGCTCATTACCAAGGTAACGGAAAAAGGTAGCACGGAGTAAAGGATTCATGGCATTCGGATTGCATGCCGGAAGGTCGTTTGGGATAAGCATCGTACGGGATGAAGGTCGTAATAACAAAATACCATGCGGGACAAAGACAACGCGGTACAGAACGCGTATGGCCGACTTCCTTTCCCAGGTAAGCTCAACGAGACCCTGACCAGAGACCGCCGTCCGAGGAAAATAAAGCTGGAGCCAAGCATTCGACTTTGTGCTTGAGGCATTCCCTCTGGAGATGTGTGCCCACCGCCGGAACCTTGCGCAGAAATACTGGTGATAAGCGTTGAACGATGCTTACCAAGTCAGCCCGATTAGTAGTTCCTGAGCCAAGATTCGTAGCATATTGTGTACATTTTTCCCAAATAAGTGCTGAGGATGCCAATCAGATCTCGCCTACTGGGTGCAAAGGTTAATGAGGCAGTAGGAGTGGGGGTTGGGGGGGGGGGGATCAAATATCTCCAGCCTTCACATTTTAGAATGCAACAAAACCCAGTGTCTTTATTGTCTTTTCTGAAGACTTGAGCTGCCTCTGTTCTTCTAAGTGCGGTTTGCCCCGGGCACGTTTTTTATCCTTCTGTTTTGTAAAGTTTTACAATGTATGGTGTGATATTATATTTCACCATATGACTACATCAATCGCCGACGATCTTTCGCCAACAATGGTTTATACAGCGATTTTGTTTACAGCGGTTTTATCTACAGCGGTTTCTTCAGCTTTTTTGCTGTCTACAGCGGTCAGCTGTCTACAACGGTTTTGTCTAGAGTGGTTTTGTCAACAGCGGTTTCTACAGCGGTTTTGTTGCTTACATTGGTCAGTTGCCCATAGTGGCTTTGTCTACAGCGGTTTTGTCTACAGCGGTTTCCATAGCGGTTTTGTTGTCTACAGCGGTCAGTTGTCTACAGCAGTTTTGTCTACAGCCGTTTCTAGCCTGCAGCATGTACTACGGCCTCTGGTCGTACAACCATTGGCAAGGGGGGCTTATCACCGCCTGACTGGAATCGATTCCAACTTCACCTCGCGACCTTATTGGCGGACTCCGAATTCGAATCAAAAAGACAATTCGACATCAGTAGTTGACTCCAGGTTGATTCCACTTCCCAAAAATACTTTGAGTCAACTCTGGCCTTGCATCAAGACAAAGTTAGCGATAGGTTTCAGCAGACACGAATCAATCAATCAAAAAGTTCGGCAAAATCAGGGGTGAGATAAGCCTGGCTCAAGATCTCCCACAACTCTCCCGCTTATTGCGGTGCATTCCATAGAAGTTTTGTATCCGAATGACAGATAAATTCATCACATCGAAGAAAACTTGGAAATTTGTGACGAAGGTAAAGACCAGTTCTAGTTATGACACAGAGGTAGGACCATTTCTGGCAACGTCTTACACGACAGACAGCTGCATCACAAAAACATAGCCCGAGGGCACCCTGCCGTGACGACCGACACCGCTCACGATAGTCTGCCGTGACGACCGACACCGCTCACGATAGTCGGCCGTGACGACTGACACTGCTCACGATAGTCGGCCGTGACGACTGACACCGCTCACGATAGTCGGCCGTGACGACTGACACGCTCACGATAGTCGGCCGTGACGACTGACACCGCTCACGAGTCGGCCGTGACGACTGACACCGCTCACGATAGTCGGCCGTGACGACTGACACCTCTCACGATAGTCGGCCGTGACGACTGACACCGCTCACGATAGTCGGCCGTGACGACTGACACCGCTCACGATAGTCGGCCGTGACGACTGACACTGCTCACGATAATCGGCCGTGACGATTGACACCGCTCACGATAGTCGGCCGTGACGACCGACACCGCTCACGATAGTCGGCCGTGACGACTGACACCGCTCACGATAGTCGGCCGTGACGACTGACACCGCTCACGATAGTCGGGCCGTGACGACCGACACCGCTCACGATAGTCGGCCGTGACGACTGACACTGCTCACGATAATCGGCCGTGACGACTGACACCGCTCACGATAGTCGGCCGTGACGACTGACACCGCTCACGATAGTCGCCGTGACGACTGACACGCTCACGATAGTCGGCCGTGACGACTGACACTGCTCACGATAATCGGCCGTGATGATTGACACCTCTCGATAGTCGTTTGGGACTACTAACGGACTAATAAACTATAACTAAATAGTTTCCCGTGATGACTAACACCGCTCACGATAGTCGGTCGTGACGACCAACACTTCTCACGATAGTTTACCGTGACGACTGACACCGCTCACGATAGTCGGTCTTGACGACCAACACCTCTCACGATAGTTGGCTGTGACGACTGACACCGCTCATGACAGAAGACTGTGACGACTGACACCGCTCATGACAGAAGACTGTGACGAATGATACCGCTCACGAATGGAAGAATGGATGAATAAAGGTACCATGGCAGAAGACGTTGTACTGCAGCTAAATTAGCACATTTCACATTTCTATGTCCATAGATTAGGAAAAATATAGCAAGAAAGTGTAGGCTGTAGAAGGATGGGGTGGAGAAAACTGATACCGTGGGAGGACAACCATTGGCCTATTTTGTCATCGAATAGTATGCTTGTCTCCAAAGTAAGTGTGTCACAGGGCTGCCCATTTGCTTCCATCCGGACACACCCCAAGACAACCACGGCAGGGCGCCAACTCGGCCTAAACAGGGCTCAGTCAGTGCTGTCCCAATACCGCCCCGGTACGGCACCAATACTACCACGACGTGGCTGCAGTCGTGAAGATAACCACGGGGCTGTTCTGGACGGAAATGCTCCTCCCCTCCGACTTTCCTAAATTGGCCTTGCAGCTCCCACTTTGTTTGAATAAAGAGCGTTTTTCGAATCGTTTCCATCAAAAACGCGACGCCAGTTCAGATCGTCCCGCAGACCCGGATCTGCCTCCTTCTCCAACCTCCGAGATGTGGCTACGCCCGTGGCTACAATGCCCGACCGTCCCCACTGCGAACCTGGTACGGTCCTGACTCCACCTCCGCACGGCGCCAGCACGGCACCAGCACGGCGCCAGCACGGCACCAACACGACACCAGCACGGCATCATCACGGCACCAGTACGACACCAGCACGGCCTGCCACGAGTGGATGTACAAGGCGGCTCGGATGCCGAGCAGCGGAAACCTCATGACTTCAGGGTCCTGAGTGTGGCTTACGTATCCTTCATATGACGCAGGATGTTGGCGCGTTAGGCGCAAAGACGCCCACGTTCATTTTGTACCCACGGCTCCTTCATTTAGATAATCATATTTTTCCTGGGACTGTTCCGTTGTGTGAAATATTATGCAATGAGAAAATGGATACGAAATGCACACAATCGTCGTGTTTTAGGGGAAAGCTCCCGCTGGAGTGCCGTGTTTGATTCCTGACCATTCGATTCATGGGACTGTTCCGTCGTGTGAAATATTTTGCTAGAAGGAAACATGTACGAAATACACGCAATCGTATCTTGGGAGAAAACCTCCTCTTCGAATGACGTTTTTGGTTACGAACCTTGTTCAGAGCACCCTGTATGTAGGCATAAGTATTCATAGCTGCCATCACAGCATCATTCATTACCATACGCAAATCACGCGGCATGTCAGTCATTGCTGGCTCAACTGCTGTCTTGAGACGTGGTGTCGACTCTCCCCGACAGCCACAGCAGACGGTCAGTTGGCCGGATCCCGACGACTTCCGCTCCATTCATTGAACCTCATCACTAGCGCAGCGCCACCGCGCCTACCTGCCCGCCCGACAGGAATCGACGTCGGCCGCGACAGATGGTAGAGTGACATTTAAACTTCCCTCCGCGGCGAGGCGTGCCATTGGCCGAGGCGGCGGCGCCCGGGCCAATCAGCGCGCGTGCCGCCACCTGCACGTCGAGCGCCGGCTGCGGCAGCCGGGCCGCCCGCCGCCGCTGTACAGTTGCGATAACACGGGAGTGGGCGGCGGGCGACGGATAGCGAGTTGCAGGAGGCACACGTGAAGGTCGCGACGATGAAGGCGGCTGTGGTGGACGCGAGTCGGACGGAGAAGCTGAGAGCAGACATGAAGGCGGCCGCCGCCCGGAGGAGCAGCTTCGACTCGGACGAGGTGCAGATGTACCTCAACAAGCTGACCGACCTGGTGCCCAACGCGCCCAAGCACCGCAAGCTCACCAAGCTGGAGGTGATCCAGTGCGTGATCGATTACATCTGCGACCTCGAGGACACGCTGCTCAGTCGGCAGCAGGTCAAGCCGGCGGCCGTTCTCGTCGAGACGCAAAACACAGCGTACCCTAGCCAGGTGAGGGCACCGCCGCTGCCGCGCGTCACCGGGTGCAGAGGGCTCCCATGAACGGTGCTCAGTCAGAATTGTGGGAAGGCCGCAGACTGGCCTCGGCTGGAGCTGGGCAAATGCACCGTCGGCCTCGTTTCGTCTGAAGTTTTTACCGCACGCGTCATGGTCGCCGCGGTCGCCACCGCCGTTCCCAGCACCGCGCCTGGCCGCCAGCCCTCGTCCCGCCGCAGGGCACAGCGCCTACTCTGCCCGAGCCGCCGCTGACGCCCAGCCTCTTGCAGGACTCGCCACCGGAGCCCAACTCGTGAGCGGCGCCGGCGCCGCGCTGACGTCACTGCTCTCCGGCCGGCCGGAGTTCCCCGGGCGGCGGCGGCGGCGGCGCTTCCGCCGGCGCGGCTGTCCGACCAACGTCGGCCCCGCGTCGGCGGCTTCCGGCCAGGCGACAGCTGCCGCCAGCCGCACCGGCTGTCGACCTGGGGTGCGCCGGCCTCCCCTCGCCCGGCGCAGATGGGGCTGCGCATGTCCCCCCCCCCCCCCACCCGACACCATTTGTTACGTGCATTATATGCGTTCACCTAAGCCTATGTTCGGTTATCTACGTCTGTGATATGAATACTATTTTGTATGTTGTGTGTGCGCAGGCTGGACCGGTATTAGCACGGGAGTACAAACTGGTGTCCGTGTGCGTGTGTGTACAGCGTTCCCTCCGTGCGCCGATATCGAGCAATACACGGCCCTGATCTGTATGTGCCAGGCATGTGAGCCGAGGACGAGGCAGCATACGCCCACGCAGCGGCGCTCTCACGGCCGCTGTCCCTCTAGTCGGGCGCTGGTACCTCTCCGCTGCGGCGGGCGCCGGCTTTCGTCCATCTCCGCCGCTGAGAGCTGGTCGTGGTGACGGCGCGGCTCTTGGCCGCTGGAGCTGATGAGGCCGCGGCCGTCGCCGCTGCCGCCGCACAGCGACACCTTTCTGGGAACGGCAGGGGAGGGGCGGGGCGCCCCGTCCTCCGTCCTCCGTCGGCGGCCGGCGGTGCGGGCGGCGCTACAAAGGCGTCCGGCCGCCGCGTGACACCTGGGCCCGGTCCCAGCTGCCGCCGTCCGGCCCCGCTCCGCCGGCTGTCCCCCTCGCCGGCCCATCTGGCGACGAGCCTGTCGAGCCGCCGGAGCGACGCGCCCGGGCTGTGGTGATCGGTCTGATGTTGGACGGTGGTCCACCGGGCTGTGGTCGGACGGTGAACCACCAGACCGTGGTGCTCGGTCCGATGGCGGACGGCCACCAGGCTGTGGTGCTCGGTCCGATGCCGGACGGCCACCAGGCTGTGCTGCTCGGTCTGATGCCGGACGGTGGTCCACCGGGCTGTGGTCGGACGGTTGGCCAACAGGCTGTGGTGCTCGGTCCGATGCTGGACGGCCACCAGGCCGTGGTGCTCGGTCCGATGCTGGACGGCCGCCAGGCTGTGCTGCTCGGTCTGATGCCGGACGGTGGTCCACCAGGCTGTGGTCTTCGGTCCGATGTCGGACGGTGGTCCCCCGGACGGTCCGGGCGGTACGCTGTATGGTCTGAACAGCCGCACCTTTTTGTATGATGCTGTTCGCTCGGACCATGCATCAAGCTAGCATTAAAGTCCGCCCTCTTGTAAAATAAAATGAAACGATACCACCACACCACCCAGAGACGGAACAGCTTCCATCCGCTCGTCGCCCGCTACCCAACGCAAGACGTCGGGCAGCGAAAGACGAGGCGCGGCGCCAGGGCTCGATACAGCGCGACTTAGCCACTTGCCTCGCTCCACGGTAATCTGATGGAAACGAGTCCCAATGAGGCTCCGGCGCCCGCTCTAAGCACCGTGAGAACACGACGTGCGGCGGCCGCGGGCGGGCGCCGCGCGTTGCGTCAGTTACGCCTCCAAGTCCTGCGGCATGAAGCAAACGTCCGTGCGTGGCGGTGGCGCGATGACATCACAGAAGAAACCGGCGCAGCTGCCTCTGACCGCGGCCGGAGCGTGGCCGCATGCCGCGCGCCGTGACAGGGCACGAGTCAGCACCGCGCCGCGCCGCGCCGCGTGCCCGGCCGGGGATTGGGACGGTGCCAGACAGCGGCTCAGACTAATCCCGCGGACGGCCGGCCCGAGGACGGGGCGGACCGGCCGGGCGGGCCGGGACGCGCCGCGTCTGTGACCGGCGCCGGGGAGGGGGTCCGCGTGAAAGCGGCCTCCCGCGCGGGGCGTGGGAAACGGCAGCGAGCTGCGTTAGCTATGCGCAAGATAGGCGTCATTAGCCGTAATTGCCGCTGCTGGAGGCAGCAGGAAGCGCACCCGGCTTCAAATTGGCCACGTGTGAATGATACACGGCGCGGCAATTTTGTGAATCACGGCTGGGCCAATTTGTATGAATGGCAAGCGGTAGGGGCGGGGCGGGCCAGGTCGGCGGTACACGCTGTTGGTGAGCCGGCGGGGCCCGGTCCCGCGGCAGCCCATTCAGAAGAGCACAGAGCTGCGTAGAGCGGCTCGCGGCAGTCCTGAATGGCCTGCGGCGAGAACTGGGTTTCGCCCGCGCCTCCGAACGAGTCCGGGACGTGATAGCACCTCACCACTGATCAAGCACATCGTTCGCAATACCCGATTGTCCTAAGGTGTTCAACTCATCCAGGAGCGTTTGTGGCATACTGCATCCAGTGTCATACAGCTGGCCGTTCTAAGGTGGGGAAAGCTTCCGCTTAGCATCTCCGGGTTGCTGGCACATGGACAAGAAGGGCCTTCTACCCACACATTTGTGTTTGCTTAAATCACCAAACTCATTTTGCATGTCAGACCGTCAATAAATGCCGCTGATGCGCCTCAGTCCCCGGTGCTCCCATTCATGTCCAGCCATGAGTGGAGAACGAACCGTGGCATAGGTGGCAGAGGCCATGCTAACTCTCATCAAAACTGACCCCATTTGAGCATTTCAGTTAAAAAAAGCCTGTCCCAGAGACTTCGACATAACGACTTTCACAGCATTTCCCACCTTTGTGCCGTCGCATCCGCGTACCTCATCAATCCTACACTGTTTTTGCAGCCGGATTTAGACGGCGTGATGGCCCCTGATGATGCGGTTTAGCCGCGGCCAGGCCCGGACTCGGCGTCCACCGGACAACAAGTATGAACGATCGACCGTAATCAGACCATGATTTATTGAGGTCCACTTCCTGCGTCACCAGCTTGGTGACGCAATTTAACAGCCGATTTGCCGTGCTCGCCATCATCGGCGAATCGTGAGCTTGTGATAATCACGGCGCCAGTTTTATGGTTGACGCCCGCTCACCAGGTGAGGTGGGTATGTTTTGTATAAAAGTCAAGGGCGGCCCTGGTATAAGACTTTTGCGGATGAAGGATCCAGCTCTCATTCGAAACAGGACTTTCACCCCTAAAACGATGTGCACGAAGTGAGGGAAAACAAACTCGAACCTTCGGAGGATGCGAGTGAAAATGTAATTTCAGGCACACGCTGCCAGGCAGCAACACTGTGGGGAAAGCCGCACTTGAAATGGCACATGCAGCTCCCTTGCAAGTTGCAGGTATGGAGATGGGGCGGTTTCCACATGTCGAACTCACATCCAGCACCAAACAAACCCGCCTAGTATTCCTGCAAGCCGAACAATGCCGAAGCCGACGCCTGCTGCCAGGTGTTGCCAGCTGGCATGTACGTGCTTCTCGGGCCGAACAGCGCTAGGCCGGGATACGGACCGGAGCGCCTAGCAAGCCCGTGTCGCAGCCCACCATCCCGCCGACGCGGCGCCGGACGCTGCGCTAACGGAGCGGCCAATAACAAACAGCGCGCACCGCGCGGCCGCGTGTGGTCTGTTTGTCGCGCTCAGGCGGCGCACGTCCTGTTTGGTTCCCAAACACGCCACCGGCCTGGTCCAGTTCAGCTGCGCTCGGGAGCAAACAATGCGCGGACAAGTGCGCTGCCGCGGGCTGGCGCACCATGCGTCACCGCATCCGCCGTGCATTGGCCGAATGCGACGCGTCGTTTTGGATCAGATCCAGTGACTCGTCAGGTACTACCATTGCCTTGGGGTCTGCCGTTATGGATAACGGTTTGCTGTAGCTTTGCATTGCTTTGGAGCGGCGAAGGGCTGGTCGTCTCCAACATTTACATTATTTCGCCGATCAACAGCCCACGTCTGAAAACTGGTGAAATGTCACAATATCAAAACGCGGATACTTGTGTGTGTGATTATAGCCGTTGTCTGGGTATTTTAAGGGGTTGATTCATTTCCACAGCGTATCTATGGCCGTCCTTTGGCTGCGATTCTGTCCGCTGCGTAGAAGGCTCTCGTCTTGCGCTGACGCCTCGCAGCGCTGCTGCGCCGTAACGCCGCCGTCATCAGCCTGCCGCGGCTCGCGGCCCAGCCGGGGTCTCCAGTCTGCGGACGGACCGACCGAGCCGCCGACGGGCGCCCCCAGCCCAGCGGCGGACCAGCCGGGGTCTCCGGTGTGCGGACGGACCGACCGAGCCGCCGACGGGCGCCCCCAGCCCAGCGGCGGACCAGCCGGGGTCTCCGGCGTGTGGACGGACCGACCGAGCCGCCGACGGGCATCCCCCGCTCCGCGGCTCTCACTGCAGCTCGCGTCCCATCGCGCGTCCGGCAAGTCCCGCCCCTTTCC